GTGCGTTCCCGACAGGTGGCTGGCGGCGCTCCAACGATCGCGCGACTTCTTGCGACTTCCGCTATGATAGATGGCGCGGCTGAGTTCTTTCGACGTGGAAGAAGATGAGGGCAAAAACTTGGCAAAACTGGTTTGTCACCAGAATTGTTTCCTCGTGCGACGCGTCGATATTTGTTTGCATTTTACGGACTTTAATTTTCTTTTTAACAGTCGAGAAACTCGTTCACGATTCGTCTCATTTAGGCAAGTTTGATCGCGATTCTTATGTTAAATATACAATTTTTCCAAAGAGAAGATAAAAACGAGGAGGAAGAATTTCTCGCTCGATTTTCATCAACCAATTGGCTAGAAAGATATCGAAACTCGTTTTTTCAGAGAGAGAAGAATACCTCCAATGATATCGTTCCATCGACCGACCTCGCCACTGGATATAACGAAAAGAGGACAAAGCTTTCGGAGCTTTTCTTCTTCGAAATCCCTTTCGTGGTAAAAAAAAAAAAAAGCAGTCGTTCTTCCCCGGCTTAGAAGCTATTTCCGTCTGGAAATGTGTTTTCTGTGCCCGTGACGATGATCGTAAACGGAGACGACGATAAGGAGGCGAGGTTCGCAAATAAGAAAGTAGAGAAAGATAAACGTTCTTTGGATCGTTGACGCTGATACGGAAGGTAGGCGTGATGCAGAAAATCGTCGAGCGAGATGTCGTTACGACCTGTGCACAAGGAAAACGGGAATTGGATATATGCAAATCGCGGGAAACGTTTAATTTCGGATCGATCCTCGCCCCACTTCTTCTTTCTCTCTCGACGAAAGGAGTTGCGCAACCGGCGTTGAAAAACAAAGTGTTAGGGAAACCGGCTAATTATGCGGAGACGGTTGCACGTGCGTTTAACTTTCGTTAAATGACGGTTCACCGCTACGTTTACTTTGCCGCTCCTCTACGCGTCCCGAATTTTAAGCGACGCGTCCGAATTCGCCAACCGTCCAATCCGTGGAGAAAAGACCGCATTGGCTGACCGTTCAGGATTCGGTGAAATTTTCGATCGAAGATAGGAGACAAACTTCTATTTGCCATTGTTTCTTTTCTCACGGTTGGAGAGAACTTTTTCCTTTATCCGGGCGAGGAACGGATAACGCGACAGTTTCAGAGGATTCGAAAGAGGCAATTAATTACCGCGATAACAAGGAGTGGGGAGCGTGGTCAAACAGGTGGCGAGACCCTTCGAAAGGCAAATAAACTGAATACGTTTGCTCGAGCGTGTTTGATAGCGGCGCGTTATTTACTTGGCAAATGTACACCGCGAAGAGCGCCAGCATTGAAATTACTCGGGTTTTAATTAAAGATATCCGTGCGCAGGATCCGTGATGCGAGATTATAAAATCGATTTTGTTAACTCGTTAACAGGCGAGTTTTATTGCCACGGGATGTTTGCGCAAGCATATTGATGTCGAGTACACATGAACTCGATAGTAAAACGCCCAAGGAAAATCTTATTTACGGGGCTAACTATGCGACGCGATTAAAAATTATTTTTAATATATTTACTTTACAGTATCGGGCATTTTTCAACAGTTAATCCATCTTTCAAACTCGTTCTTCAAATTTACACATCGCTTCCTTCCTCTCTTCGAAAAAGAAAAAAAAAAAAAGATTATTCGACTTATCATCGTGCGACTTAGAGCACAGCTGCTCCCCACGATCCTAACAGTTCCAACGAAGAACGGTCGAGAAACGAATCGAACGTGATGTAATATTTTTTTTTTCTTTTTTTATCGAAGAAAAGCGTTGGCCGTCTCCTCTCCTTCGAGAGGAATCGAAGAACGGTCCCGCGATCGTTGTCGAGCGATACTCGAAGATAACGACACTTTGACCGGCATAAATATGGAACGGATGGAGGGTCAGGTGCGACGATATGTGGACCGTAAGTGGGCAACGGTGAGGTACGCGGTCAGTGACATCCGTGGACCCGTCTCTTCGAGGCCTTTACAGGTTTGACCAGAATTCACAGCATCACGTGGATGCAGCCAAGTACGGGAACCGCTATCCGTGCAGCTGTGTACCGACTCGACACGCATTTTTCTCCTCCTCCTCCTCCTCCCTTCTTAAATCGTTTCCGCGACCGTTTCGAAATCTCGTTCTCTCGGGTTACGACATATCACTTTTCTCTTTTTCTTCTCTCTCTCTCTCTCTCTCTCTCTTCGATCTTCCTCCTTCGATCGATGACGAAATTACGTTGGAAACTTCGGTTTACTCGATTCTTCTTTCTTCTGCAGGAGAGGAGGGGGAGGAAAAAAAAAAAAACGATCTCTCCATCTCTCGATTTCAAGATCGTTCCCTGTCGAGGATAATTTCGAGCGAAATTATGGCTGTCGTCGAATTGGAACAAGAAGCCAAACTTGAGTCGACGAAATTGGGAAGCGGTTCTCTTTTCTCTCTCTCTCTCTCCTTTTCCTTCCCCCCGCGACATCTTCTCCGCGAGGAGAGAAGGAGAGAAATAATATCGAAGAGAAAACCACGGCCTTCCCTTTGAAAGGAGGGAGGGGAAAAAAACGTGAAGGATAGGCGCGCGCGCGCGAGGGACAGGATCACCCAGTGATCCAGTTGAAAAAAGGAGGAGGAAAAGGAAGAGGCGCGCGTACCTCGCGCGGAATTCTCGATCGTTCTTCACGACCATTTGTCCACACACCTGGTGTTCGCCGAACCGGCCAATTGTCGGCGGGGCGGAGGAGTGGCGGAGGGGGAGGGGGAAGGCAAAAACGTTGCATCTCTAATGAGTTCTCATTGACGATGCGAACGTTTTTGCACGTCGCTTCGTTCGAGGTAACACGCTGTTCCAAGAATGATTCCCGATGCTTGCGGCCGAGCGTCGCGTCGGGAAACAGGATCGATTTCTGCCCTCCCTGGCGTTGATGGATCTGCGAACGATCGGGGAGGATGACTGAGATCCAGGAAGCCGATTTTCTTTTTTCCTTTTCTTTTCCTCTCTTTCTTTCTTCTCGAAAACGAGAACAGTTTGACGAATCGCAATCTACGTCTAGATCCTCGCGCTAAAGGAAGATTTAATTTTTCCATTCGATGATATAAAATATATGCGTGTATTTTCTTTCCAGATTCGATAGATTCGAGTTGTAGTAATAATAATAATAATAATAATAATAATAATTCGAGGACAGGGTTGAGATTAAGGAGGGCGAGCGAATAAACGAAAAGGTAGAAGGTAAGTTTCGAATTAAGCGAATTCGATATGGGTGTATATTGAAGTGAGAGAAACAAATTCTCGGGAAATGTTAATTTCTCGTCTCGATGCTTTTCGTCAGGGTTGAGTTGCGGAACTAAAATCGTCGGTGTTAAAGAAGGAGGGAGAGGAATAAGAATTCGTATTCTTAGAGGCGGTTTAAGGCCGAAGCTTTCGCCTTTATTCCCAACTGCGACCAACCGCGGGGAACCAGACGATGAAGCAAAATAAATTGCATCTATTAATCGGCCCATTCAACCGTGGACGGTTGAAAAAGAAACCAAACGATCCAACGTTAACGTTTGTTAACGTCAAACTTCCCCTCCGATCGTTTCGTTCCTCCGTCCATCCATCCATCCTCCTCCCCCTCCTTCTCCTCCTCAGATCGAGATTATCCTCGTCGATTGCAACCATCGATTCGTTTATCTATACGTATGCGCCGATCTGCATAATCGATTTCCCACGAACTTGACCTCGCTCGAGCCGGTTGCGTGACGCAACCACCGTGTCGCAGGTGAAAGTGGCCTCTCCCCAGGTGTTTTCGAACGATTTCCAACGCGGTTATACGTTACGGCCACGGGGGAGCGGAGATGACTAATCGATCGGATCTGTCGGTCGATCACGTTCCATCGATCGTCGAATAGGTCTCGTGCTCGCCATAACGTAACACGAAACCGGCTCGACGTAAACGGAAGAAACCTATGCGATATGGAGACAGAGAGAGAGAGAGAGAGAGAGAGATGGTGGCTCAGCCGTGATGGAGAAGAGGATCGAGGAACGAATATGGTGTGCGCGCAGGTCCATGGGAAAGCACCCTGAAAGCCACTCGTCTGCTCGATGCCAGAGGTGAGCGTTACGAGGTAAGATTATTCCTCGGCGCGGGGAAGGCGAGGGGAGGACGGGGATAGGTTCGACGTCCTGGCTCGGTTGACCATTCAGACGTTTGCCCGTTGGCCGGGTTTAGTCACGGCAGACGTTTCGAAAAAGAGAGGAAAAAAAAGAAGAAGATCGAGGAGGGGATTCGATGGGGCCAGATCATCGGCCAGGAATTAATTCTATCTTTCCCCTCGCGTATATATATGTATATACGTGTGCCAAGCGAGGTTCACTCGTGGGAACTCTCGTTTTTCGTTTAATTTTTCTTTTTTTTAATCTCCGAGCCTCTCTATTCTTATTCCATTAAAGAACATTCTTTTTCTTCTCTTTTTTTGAGAATAGTCCATACCTTTTTTTTATTAAGCGTACGTATCGGATCGATCGATATTTCATTGCCTTTAAATCGCTGTTATTACATCGATCCCTTCCTTCTAATACGCATCGCACTTGTCAACATACGTATCACGTATCAAATACGTGGTAATAGAACGAAGGTGTCGCTACGCTATTTATAAACCATATATATATATATATGTATGTACGTACGTATATACGCGAGATTTTTAACGCAACTTTTAATCTTGAAAAAAGAATGACCTCTCTCGCGAGCAATTTGTTCCTTCTTTCTCGAAGCGAAGAACGACGATTTTTTTGAGAAAAGAAGAGAGAGAGAGGGCAGCAGCGTCGTTCTCCCACTTCTGCCGGGAGAACTTCCTTTTCAGTGCCGTCTCACGTACACTTGCCCGCCGTCAAATGAGTTACGTTTCGACACGTCGAGCGTACACGTGTACACGGAGAGGCGACGCGAGGACGAGGATAAAATTCTAGGCGGAACGAACTGGCACCTTTGTGGACGCGCACCTTTGTTAACGGATTCGCTGGAAAACTTACCAGAATCGGATTGCGATGCCAGTAGAACGGCCGCCAGACACAGTATAATCCCGGGTCGACAGGGCCCGGCGTTCAAGGCCGACATGTCGGCACTCTTCTTCCGTTTCCTGAAAATCGAAAGGAAAAAAAAAAGAAAAGAATTAGAAAAGTCGTACCGATTTTCAAAAAATCGAAGTTAAATTAATTTTCCATCCTTTTTTCCTACGAACGTGCCTCCTTTCCCCCCCCCCCCGCCCGTATCCATCCCGTCACGTGGCATTCTAGCGTAACTGTCACCTCGGTGACAGCTGGAAACGTGGCTGGAAACGAGCCAATATCGCGTGCCTTCGCACTTTGACCGTTCTCGCGATCGCGTCGTAACGCGCGGTATGCGGACGGATGAATAAGCAGGCGCGCGTATTTAGGCGTCGGTGAGGCGGACGTGAAGATCCGAGAATAAGAGGAGAGCCCTTCTCTCTTGTGCGCGTGAATTTACGAGGCGCGAGCGCTCGTGGGAATGCGTGTCCGGATTCGCGTGATTTCCGTTCGCGACGTGCAGGAATCCTGTGGTTCGAAATTCAAGGGCGGGTCCAAGGATGACGAGTTTTCGAAATTATATAAGGGATCGAGAGATTTCGTTCATTTATTTTACGAAATTTAGAATTCAGATTGGACGTACGCTCCACGCCGTGAGAAGGAGAAGGAATTACGCGTGTTGGGAATTGTTGGCAGGATTAGAAAAAGGATGGAGAGGAAGAGAGAAGAATCGGCAGGAAGGGGAGTTTGGTGAAGGCGGCGCATACCAGTCGCGACAGCGGCTTAATACAAAGGGCCACCGAGATAAAAGAGCGTGGGTAGTTTCTCTTTTGCCCGTCGACTTCATCTTTTCTCGTCGTCTTTTCTCCGTACTTCCCCTTCGCCGTGGCATTTCATTGTTGATCGAACGCGGGAACGGAGAGAAAAAGAAGAGAGAGAGAGAGAGAGAAAGGCGAAGGATGGAACGCGCGACACCTAAGCTCGCGCCTGCTCGTTAACCACGCTGTAAATTACATCTTGGAACTATCGTAATGAATCCTCGGATGGATGGATTTCTTCCACCACCGTTTCCTCTTTTACTTATCTCCCCTTTCCCTCCTCGCCTATGAATCGTTGCTCACAGAGCGAAAATCCCCCGGAATCTTCTTCTTCTTCCAAGCCGGTAAAAGCCGCGTGTCATTGCGTATTCAGGATACGGCCCATTGAACCGAGGAATTCGGTGAATGGGGTATGCATCGGCGGCCGCCTCGATCCCTCGCCGGCCAACGACTACACACGCTTCGCTCCGTGGAAACCTCGCTTCGAGAAACGCTATGATTTTGATCTCGCATACTTCGATCCGAGCGAGTGCATTGGGAACAACAAGATATCTCGAACGAAGCGATAAGTAATCGAAAGAAAATTTTTTATCCTTTGTTTCGAGAATAATTCATCTCGAAAAGGATCTCGCCCCAAGAGGGAGAGGGGGGGGGGGAAACAAGAAAAGTCAAACGTTTCCTCTCCGATGATCCACGGATGACTTTCGTACGATAACGGATAGACACAAGGAGGCGAGACGTGTCGATATTCCACGATTCTAGAATAGAATAGTCCACGGCCATACAGATTCCTTCATTAAATTTTTCCATTGAAACGATCGGGCGAGATCATACGAATATTTTCATTAATATCGAAGAGGGATCCTTTGACGAGCCGCTACGTCACGTCCTCGAATCGAAATTTCGTAATTAATAAGGCCGCCAGCCCCTGCTCCCCCTTCCCCACTTCCTTCCCCAAATTCAACGAATCCATTGTCCTATTATCGCGTCCTCACCCGACCGATCGTGCGTTCCCAAAGACCGTGTTGTTCCATTCGTTGACACAGACGTTGCCAACGCCGTTACGATGACAGGCTAGAAACGGCACGCCCACGCGCGGTGACACGAGGTGAATGAAAATGCGAGCGAGCCGCACGTTCCACGCGGCAAGGCGTCGAAACACACCCCCGCTTCCTTCTTTCTATCCTTTCTTTATTCTTCTCTTTTTCGCGCCCCGTTTCCCTTTCGTCGCAGATCGATTCAACCTGATTCGTCGCCGAGTGATCCGCGATTTACTTTCCAGGACCCGGTTTATGGTGGCTGCCACTCGTCGAACCGCGACTAATTTCACTCACGCTCTCGATACGGCCGTGCCGCAACCGAAAGCCTTCGCGATTTCACCGATACGAGCGCCTGGTAATAACGACGTTTGATGGTCGAGAAAGTGATAGTCGTCGATAGGAAAAGTAATCCTTGCTGTTATTTCTGCTCAGAACAACAGAGTTGACGATCCTTGGTTGAGTTCGAGGTGGGAGAGGATTCGTCGACTATCCTCTTGGAATATTTCTTTTCGATCATTGGTCGTTGATGATAGAAAAAGGAACTAAACTCCGATTGTTGACAATTCTTGAAATGCAGATTATTTCTTGAAGAGAATCGAAGTAAAATTGAGTAGAGTTGATAGAGGTAAAAAAAAGGTAAGGATTCGTGTGGATCGTTGGAATATTTCTTCTCGATCATTGAGGATTGGAATAATTGAATTCGATAGGAAAAGGAACTAAACTCTGATTGACTGTTGTTTCGAAATATATTTCTCGAATAAAGTGAATAATAGAATTGACGATTCTTGGTTAAGTTCGATAGAAGAAGGTAAAGGATTCGTGTGACAAGTTTTCATATCATTTATTTTAATAATAAAAAAAGTGATGTCGCAACTACCTTTTAAGGTTCAAAAAATATTCAAAAATATTCAATAAAATGTAAAAACCAGAGAATCTTTTCACCCTACTTCTCGCAAACACGAATAAAAATTCAACGTGGAATAAAGAGGATCCCAAGCGAGGATCGGGAGAGGGGAGACAGTTGGAAACCGCAGTTGGAAACAAGAGGCCGATAACGATCTCTCAGAATCTCTCTCTCTCTCTCTCTCTCTCCATGGGATAACAGCTGTTGGCGCGATAATTGCGTCGGCGAGAGAAGTTTCGGTATAAGGTGCAGGTAGATGCAGCCACGGGCCGGCGAAACGGGGTGGCTGGTGGCAGAGGTTCCGTTAGCGGCCGGAGGCTGTGTTCGTTCACCATTACCGTGGAACGCGGAATATGATTACCTTCACCTGGGAACAGACTGTTCCCTCGTATCCCCTCCGGCCTAGCGAACAACCGTGGGCGAAGTTTCCACCGTGTCCCGGTTACCCGTTCCTACTCGACCGTGTACCGTGATTAGCCAAAGCCTGGCCCTGCGCACGATTTCCGACGTTAAGGGGCCGTGAGATCGGGATCATCAGCGGTCGCACCACGAGAATCTACCGATTCCATCACCCATACGTTCCATTGGTTCGAATCGAAAATTTTCCGACACGTAACGTTTCTATCGATTCTATCACGATTCTCTACGAACGATACATTTTTCGCTTCCGAACGAGGGAAATTTCGACGGTGGAAAACTCTAAATCGGACAGATGGTGCTCGAGGCTGATCCTTCCACGCTCGTCGATATCTACTAATTGGAACATTCCCGATGGATTCGAAAGGGGCAAGTTTATTGGAAGGGAAATTCCTCCTTCCTTTTCTCACGTAGGTGGAAACTTGTGGATGGAATCGAGAATAGGCCAATCTCGCGAATAACGGTGGTGTTTCATGGAAAAGCGGTGGTCGAAGCGAATGGTGACACGGCACGATGACACGACGCTCTCTCTCTCTCTCTCGCTTCCGACATGGTAATACCCTGAATGAGCATCGTGCCCGATCGAGCAATGAGTAACGGGCCTGTCCGCCTCTCCTAAAAGGCAGGCTGATCCTTCATCTTGGAGGGACGACACGGGGTTTCGACGACCGAATGCTCGATAATTGACAGGCTTGCTCGCTCGGTTATCTCCACAGTGTTGACCCGACGGTTAACTGGATGCCCTGCTTAAGGATACCACGTGTCCTTGGGAACCTGTTCGCGCATTAATCGAACCTAAGTTATTATTATTCCGTTTCATAAATGGCGATCGCGTCTAAAAATACGACACACGACTCGAGATAACTTTGTGCATGCGCGTTTAATATTTTCGACGACGTCTGAAGAAGAAGAAGAAGAAGAAGAAGACGGGACGGATAAAATAACGAGTTATTTCGAACGAAAATATTCCATTTTTCAGACGCGTCGTTCGTGCATCTTGAACGACAAGATTAAAAAGAAAACCGCTATACACGCTCTCCTCCTTCCCCTCCAATAAAAAGTAATTTTACCACCGGATACCGGACTCCGGCCTAAAGAGAGAAGCAAGGAACGAGACTTGCCGCGGTATCTGATACAAGAATCCTTGGTCGAGACGGTGACCGAGAGAGAAAGAGGGAGAGAAAGAGGGAGAGAGAGAGAGGCTGGAGACCGAATGCAAAAGCGGCTACGTCGTGATCTGCACGTTTCGGTTTATGGGCGCAAACGGGTTCAAAGATCAGGGATCACCGCGCGAAGGTGGACACTCCACCCCGACCCAACCTTGTAAACGACGGTATGCAAATTGCGGCCAAGCCACACCGCGTGGATCATTAGCAGTGTGTCCAGACGCCAATGACTCTCAAAAACGCCTTCCTTCCTCGCTTAATAATCCGCGTTATTAATCAACAATTTTACTTTACGTCGTTCGAAAATTCTGGAAACCCTCTTCTCCCCACCGCAGCACGCTTCCAAGTGGCAGACTGCTGGTCCCTAAAGCATCTCGACAGGTTGAGAGGCGAGTGGCTCGTTACGCCATCATCGAGGCTCGATCTCGACTCGAAAGGAGCGTCCTGTATCGCTCTCTGTTGGATAGAAGGACGCGATGGACAGAGCAAGAAGAATTCGATTTTTCTCGTAACTAAGTGGTGTTTAATTTACACTACTTCGATTTTTGGAATACGCGGAAGAAAAGAAAGAACGAGGGAGCGCGAGACGGTTATATCGCGGGTGATCGAAGGATCTATCGAGTGTTGGTTACGCTTAATGGCCTCCCTAAGTTGAAGCGGTTTTGGCCAGGAGATGGCGAGGCGAGGCCTCTCTTTTTCTCTCTCGAGGGGTTCGATTACGAAGGAGGGCCTGGGCGTTCGCACGAG